GGCCCTCACAGGAAAAAGTTTGGGGACCACTGGCGTAAATGGAGAAATTGGATGTATTGCTCATGGTGTTGTAAACTCTGTGTGTTTCAGAAACATTCCCACAGTAAGAAAACGGTTTGATGACATCTATAAAACAGGATCTCTTGATCCAGACAAGAGGCTTTTTGTGTAAGTCAAGTTCTAGAGATGTGTTGATCCCCGCCCCGGCTAATCGCTGGATGTTAGGATAGGTAATAATAATTTACTTTAATTTCAGGGATGGAAAAGAGGTGGCGGTGGTGTACTTCAGGAATGGATACATGCCGCAGAACTACACTAATGAACAGGTATTTCAAAACAACTCCATTCCTCAATTATTATGGGCAGGACTTTTTCACATCCTTACCATTCTTCACTGAAACCAAATTAACTCATCATTTTCTCCCAGGCCAAAGATGCTGGAAAACTGGGTTATCCGTTTTAAAAAGTCAACTTGTAAAGTTGTGTCCAGTTATTTGTTGTTCGTCTGATCATGTTCCTGTTTCCTGTGAACAAAGAAGAACAAACGGTTTTCACACTCTGCTGGTCAGTGTGTCCACTGGTCAGTCAGGAATGTAGGTTCAGAGAAAACAGGCAACACTCGGCCCAAAACTGGTTCAGACAAAAAATGAGCTGCTATGGAACCAGTGTAGCACTTTATACATTTATTAAGCTAAGTGATCATCAATAACAAATTTAAAAGGGTGATAGATGAAAGAGGGTTGGTGTACTTATCATCAATAGGCAATTTATCAGTATTAATACTGTATGATCACTGGAGTTATTCACTAATAGAATCAAGAACTGAATCAAAGTAATCTCACTGATCTATTCTGAAATTAGTGATTAAGTCTGAAAAACCAAGATATTACAAGGAAACACTCAGAAAAAAAGGCTAGACATAATAAACTATTAATGAAACTTTAAGGGCTTAACTCTTAATAAGTTTCTGCTCTTTGTGGAGTTTTAAGAAAAGTCTCAATCTAATCTGGAGCCTCACAGTGCTGTTTAGGGAAATCAAAAAACAAAGTGGGATGAGCATTTTTCAAGACACGGCTGCACAATGTCTCATCACCACGATATCAGTGTGTGCAATGTTCATATCACAAAGGACTGTTTGAAGGGCAGTAACTGTTGCCAGGAGAGAGCAAGCTTTTACACTAGACACAAACAACATTGCCAGAAATGCTGAAGCTCACAGAGTAGGAAGCACAGATTAGAAAGAAGAAAATAGGCATGTATTTCACCCGATATCGTTTGTGTCCAAACGAAACCTAAAACAATTTTAGGTTTTTCTTTGTCTGATTCAGCGTTTGGAGAAACCAGAAATGATCATTTTTTTGATCCAGAGTTCCAGAGTGGATGCATTTCAAAACGTTAGCTTCGTGGTCCATCTTTCTGTAACCCGAATGCTCCTCAATAACAAACGTGGCACTGTTTGCTGTTCTGTGTTTTTCGCATAGCTGCATGTGAATGCAACAGCGCCACCGATTGGCCAGGTAGGCCTACTACAGGCCTTTCTGTGTCGCTCCATTCTATCGTGTGAACGCACGTTTTTTCGTAGTCGTTTCTGAAAATTTACTGTGTTCATCTCTGCGTGGACAGGGGCCTCGGGTTCTCGAAAATTTCCTACTTTAATTCACATCAAAACTGAAGATGACTCAAAGAAACAAACAAAAATAAAGTTAGCATATTTCTGAGTGCTTGGAGGAGACAGTAGAAGTTTAAAATCAGATTTGTGGGTTGTGAATTGCAGTGCTGGGATGTTCGTCTCATGATGGAGCGCTCTCAGGCTGTAAAATGCCCAGACATCGGCACTCACCTGGCAGGAACCAAGAAGGTCCAGCAGGTGTTGGCCCGACCCGGAGTTCTGGAGAGGTTCTTCCCTGATCAGCCTCAGGCAGTGCAACAGATGAGGGAAACATTTGCTGGCCTCTACACTCTAGACATGGTGACCAAAGGGAATTTTTATCCAATCGTTTTGCTAGTAAAATACAACAAAAAAAGTTTTCCTGATCTCTTTTTGTCTTGTTGTGGTTCTGTTGTCCACAGGGACCAGAAGGTGACAAAACTGTAGCAATGGCTTTGGCAGAACCAAACCGGTTTGTTCTGAAACCTCAGCGAGAAGGAGGAGGTAAATATATATATATATATATATATATATATATATATATATATATATATATATATATAAAAAACGTATGTGTGTATATAAATTTTTTATATCTCCTCTA